ATATATAATATATATAATATATATATATATATATATATATATTATATATATACATACATACGATATATATGTATATATATATATTATATATATATATATAATATATATATATATATATATTATATATATATATATATATATATATATATATATATATATATATCATGTTACATATATTTATGTATGTGTTATATATATTAGATAATATATATATATATATTATATATATATATATATATATATATATATATATATATTGTATATGTATATATATATATATATATATATATAATATATATATATATATATATATATATATATATATATATATATATAATATATATATATATATATATATATATATATATATATGTATATATATATATATATATATATATATATATATATATATATGTATATATTATATATATATATATATATATATATATATATATATATAATATATATATGTATATGTATGTATGTATGTATATGTATTATACATATATATATATATTTTATATTATATATATATATATATATATATATATATATATATATATTATATATATATATATATACATTTTATTATATATATATATATATATATATATATATATATATATGTATGTATGTATGTATGTATACATATATATGGGTGACGTGTACAAATATTTTCCAAATTGTATGTATAATTAGACCTCTGCTCCTGGTGGTGCAAGTATTCACCCCTTCGCACAAACAACGAGCAGCAGTGCAGGTGAAAGGGCACACCGCAATTGCTCTCTTTTTTCCCCATCATTAGAACGCGGACGAAGGAAATTGAAAAAGAAAGAGAAAAAAGAAAATAATGAAAAGGTAAGGCATCGCGAAGCATAATCACTCTCTTCGGTGAATTACTTAATGAGGTGGACCCGCGCGGCATCTGGATTCAGAGCTGTACATGCGAGCTGCTGAACTGACATGAACATTACAAGTCAGCAGGACTAGTTTTGTTTGTTTGTTTTTAAATTTCGATAAAGATTTTTGGGAATTATCGGCAGGCCTAGTTTTTTGTTTTGTTTTTTAAGCTTTCGATAAAGACACGAAGCTTGTGGGAATTACTCGTGGTGCCCTCTTTGTCTGTCTGTCTATCTATCTCTCAATCCATAAGCAGTGCCCTCTCTGTCTATCTATCTACCTTTCTATCTTCCTTTCTATCTATCTATCAATCCATAATTTGAATATATGTCTATCTGATGAGCTCTTTCTGTGTCCACTTCTCCCTCTCTATACATATCTGCTAATCCATCTCTCTCCCTCTCCTTCCCTGCTTCTCCTTCTTCCTCCATCCCTCCCTTCGTGCCCCCACCCCCGCCCCATCTTGACCTGCACATCGCCCCATCCACTGAATGGGCCCACGACCGTGACCACGTAGCCGAGGGTGAGAGGGACGGCCCGCTCCGCATCCATCACGTACGCGAAGACGCTGACCATTCGTTGCCTCGTCCATCATCCATCCCTCTGCCGCCGCCGTCCCCGTCGCTTTTCCGTCTCAGTCCCCGTCCCGTCCCTTCTCCGCCAAATACCCTTCCCGTCCCGTCCCCTTTCCGTCTCAGTCCCCGTCCCCATCCAGTTCCGTCCCCGTCCTGTCCCGTCTCCGCCAAATACCGTCCCGTCCGTCCCGTCCCCTTTCCGTCTCAGTCCCCGTCCCCCCAGTTCCAGTCCCGTCTCCCGTCCCGTCCCCGTCCCGTCCCGGTCCCGTTCCCGTCGTCCCGTCAGTCCCGTCCATCCAGTTCCGTCCCGTCCCGTCTCCGCCAAATACCGTCCCTCGTCCGTCTCAGTCCCGTCCCGTCCGTCCGTCCCGTCCCGTCGTCCCGTCCCCGTCCCTTTCTGTCTCAGTCCCCGTCCTGTCAATTCTTCGCCAAATACCCGCCCCGTCCCGTCCCCGTCCTGTCCCCGGGTCAACGAGTATATGGATGAATGAGAGAGGGGAAGAGATAAAGAAGAAAGAAATTAATAAGTTAAGGGGAGTTATAAAGAGCATAGGGAAGAGAGAAGAGAGGAGAGAAGAGAGAGAGAGAGAGAGAAAGAAAGAAAGAAGAAAAGAAAGAGAGAGAGAAGAAAGAGAGAGAAGAGAAAGAAAAGAAAAAGATAGAAAGAAAGAGAGAGAGAGAGAACGAAACCCAAGACTCCAACCACCATTCCCAAACGACGAGCTCGGCACAAGCCTTTCCTCCTTGTGTATATATCAAGCTGATCTCATTGATCATTTCAAGAATAGTCTTTTGATTCGGAAATGGCGGATCTAGAGACCAAAGTTTCAAGTGGAAAGTGAGAGCCTCTTGTCAGGTGAAAGATACAAACATATCCAAGGAATATCGGAAAAAGGGAAAGGGGAGAGTACGGACGAGAGATGAGATATGGTTAGAAAGATTAAGAGGCAGGCAGACATATAGAGAAAGAGAGGGAGAGAGAGAGAAGATGGGAAGAGAGAGAGACGATGGGAAGAAAGAGAAGAAGAAGGAGAGAGAGAGAGAGAGAAAGGGGAGACACGGATAGACAGATAGACAGAGACAGAAGAAATCTGTATTCAAATGAAACTAAATAATTACACACACACACACAAAATAGAATCGCGTACACACGCACACTCACACACGGCCTTACCGTTAAACCTCCATACATCTTTTATCCACCCACACACACACACAAGCTCAACCGAACATCTTTTTTCTTACGCAATCACATCCACTCTCCCTCTCCCTAATCCACCTCAAAGCCGCACAGAGAGGACGATGCACATAATTATCCATCCCCGTCTATCCCAGGACGAAGCGAAAGAAATTGTCACATCCTAAGATCATCCTCTAAGGGGGATTCGGCGGCCTCCTGATCAGCGGGATGTTGTTAGGGATCTCGAAGGCCACTCGGATCCGAATCCTGTTTGATTAAGCCTCGATCCTCCACTGTCATCATCCTGTGGCTGTGTGTGCGTGTGTGTGTGTGTGTGTGTGTGTGTGTGTGTGTGTGTGTGAGTGATAGAGAGAGACAGAGAGAGAAGAGAGAGAGAGAAAGAAATCTTTAGATGAAGGTTTTGTAATGGAACAAGGTCCTTGGGGTGCAGAAGCCTGTGCAACGATAATATAACCATCTGTCTCTCACTTTATCTCCCTTTCTTTATATGTATAACTGTATATGTATATATATGTGTATATACATACATACATACATACATATAATATATATATATATATATATATATATATATATATATATATATATATATATATATATATATATATATATATATATATATTATATATAATATATATATACACACACACACACACACACACACACACACACACACACACACACACACACACACACACACACACACACACACACACACAACACAGACACACGCTTATATATGCGCGCGCGCGCGTGTGTGTTTATATATGTATGTATGCATGTGTGTATGTACATGTATATGTGTGTGTGCACGTGCACACACAATGTTAAAGACATTTTTTCCAACATGTCCTCTGTTCATTTCCATTTGAAATTGTCTTTTTTGTTTACTCTTTTGCCACATGCAGACACTGTTCAGATCCGCCGCCATCATTTGTTTAGAGAACATCTGGTATCTCTCATCACCTTCTGCTGGTGAGATATTCAACCCTTGTCTCGCATCAAGACAGTGGGATAAATAACACCTTTTTTCATTGAGAAACACGTGTGGCAATAACTCTAGGGAATTTGACTCCAAGATCTTTAAGAAATTATAAGATGAAATGAAATAAAGTAAAATTAAATGTTTTTTTTTAGTGCGTTTCATTCTTCACATGAAAAGGTAGATTTTCGTAGAATTCGTGTCTACGTAGTCGATATATTGTGCTCTTGAACTACTTAATGCAAGTGAGTTCCCTTCCTCTTAACTCGTATTACATCAATGTTACATCAGCAACTTAATTAGCATAATCCTGTATAGGCCTATTTAGATTTTTTTTCGCCCATCACCCCTGTATTATTTTTTTATGATAAAACATAAGACTAGAGGGATTTTAAGTTCATTTACGGTACTTCTATGGTTTTTCTGCATTTTCAAGAGAAATTAATTTAAAAAAAAAAAAAAAAATTGGCCCCAATGAACCCATTTATACTCTTGTATTTATGTGTGTCGTGGATGATGCCTTGTGAAATTCTCAATTTCACAATAAGGAATTCCAGTATAAAAACCACTCCATTCAGTAAAACAGGCGCTTTTAAGGCCTATTCCCTCTACAGATATATAATTTCCTGATTAGAATGGTTCAATAAAAAAGAAAAAAGAACAAAAATCCGGATGGTGGTTTCCAAGTGCGCATCGGTTCATTCATTTCAAAATGGGCCTTTATAAACGCGCTAAGATTTAACCTTAACAAACTTTAATCCTCATATAGTGGAATCGGTGACTGGCCTTGAAAACAAGAAACTGCCTCATCCTCCAGCAGATTCGGAATTAATCCCTGGCGCAATAAGGTATGTCAGATTAGATTAAAGTCAAGAATGAACGGATACGGACGGTGATTCGGTAAGCTCGAACTTGCCATCGAGTCGTCATGGTAAGGAATCAAACCCTTTTTAAATCGCTTGCTCTATCGAATGGCATAGTCCTTTTTCTTCCAAATTCATATCTGAAGTAAACACCGACTTGTGGGTATTTTACAAGAAGTAGCATTGCATAGCTATATCGATTTATTGTGACCCAGGGATTCAAAACCTGGGAGCCATAACCCACAGGGGGCCACGGGATACTTTCTAGGGGGGGGGGGGGGATGAAGGAATATGAAAATTTTGACGTCGAATTAAACTGTTTTATCCCACTTACAGTACTTACATATGATACATATATTTACTCACATATCAATGAATTGGAATCTTCCCATAAAGGGTTCTTGTCCAATAGCCAACACCACACTATTCATAACTAGTAACAACTGAATCCGAAAAAATGACAGGCACTGACCGGGGACATGGGGATTATTACACATTGGTCGAGGGCCACGGAAGGGAAAGGGTTGGCAACGACTGATCCAACCCTTTCGACGTGTCCGAATGCCTTTATCAATCTAGTTATTGTAAAAAAAAAAAAAAAAAAAAAAAAAAAAAAAAAAATTAGGTTAGGACGCGTTGGTGTATCTCCTTACACAAAATGATTATTGATTCGATGGCGTTTACCTGTATCGTTTTAATTAAAGATTCGACTTTTTCATCATAATAAAGGTGTATATTTACATCATAGTCGAATAAAGTTTCTCCTTTTTTTTCCGAAATTCATAATTAAAATTAAATTGATAATGATTTTTGAAATATGATGCACGCATACCTCGTTCTAATAGATTTTCTAAAAGAAAAATAAAGTTCAGTATTCGCAAAGAGAAAGATGAAAAGGAAAGAGATAGAGAGAGAGAGAGAGAGAGAGAGAGAGAGAGAGAGAGAGAGAGAGAGAGAGAGAGAGAGAGAGAGAGAGAGGGAGGAGAGAGAGAGAGAGAGAGAGAGAGAGAGAGAGAGAGAAAAAAAAGAGAGAGAGAGAAGGAGAAGAAAGAAAGTGAGAGAGAGATAGAAGAGATAAAGAGAGAGAGCATGGAAGAAAGAAAGAAAGTGAAGAAGAGAGAGAGAGAGAGAAGGAAGAAGAAAGAAAAGTGAGAGGAGATAGAAGAGAGAGAGAGAGAGAAGAAGGAAAAGAAAGAAAGTGAGAGAGAGGGAAAGGAAGAAAGAAGACAAGTGAAGAGAGATAGAGAGATAAAAGTGAGAGAGATGAGAGAGAGAGAGAGAAGAGAAGAGAAGACGAGAGAGAAAGAAGAAAAAGAAAGTAGAGAGAGAAAGAAGAGAGAGAGAGAGAGGGCAACCGAGACTGTATAAAAGCAAGCAGGCAGAAAACTCGACTGTCCTTGCTTCAGCCCCACTCTTGGCCGAAGATAATGCGCTATAGACTTCCTTTTTCTTATGTGATTGATGTATTGAGGTAATGAAAAAAATCTCTCCCCAGATAAGTTTTTTTTTTTTTTTTTTTTTTGGGGGGGTGAGTGTCACTTCCGTATAGAGCAAAGCAGCCTTGAATTTTTTTGTCTTATATGTATGTGTATTTCACAACACACACACACACAAACACACACACACACACACACACACACACAACACAACACACATACACACACAACGCCGCACACACACACACACACCACAACAGCACGCACCACGCCAAATAAACAAACTAACAACAAACAAACAAACAACACACACATAGCAAACAACACACCTATATACGAGTATGTATCATGATATACAAATACAACAACCCTCCCCCTCACCCAGAAACATCAATCCCCACAGAAAACTCATTCTTTACACAAGACCAATACACATAACATACACATACCACACACCACACACACACACACACACCACATACACACACACAATACACATACCACACCTCCACATCCAGCGAATGTTGTTGTAACCCGTTTTAAGAGCACACATTTGTGCTATCATTGTCTACCCCTTTTATGGTCTATCTCCAAGCAACCTGCGTGAGAGGGCCGGGATTTTTATCGTCTTTATTGGCTCAATCCAAAATTTGAGACGCACTTCATCATTTTACAATAGCGTTTCCTTTTTTTTTTTGGGGGGGGATATTATTTTCATTCATTATATTTTTTTATTTGCTTTTGTTTTTATTTTTTTAATATTGATTTTGTTTTTATTTTTATATTATGATTTTGTTTTTATTGTTTTATTTATCTTTTTTATATATGATTTATTTATTATTTTTTTGGATTAATTATATTTTTTAATTTATTTTATTATTTATTTTTTGTATATTTTTTTTGTATTAGTATTATCATCTAATTCTTAATATTATGATTTTGTTTTTATTTATTTTATCTATTTATTCTTTGATATTATGATTCTGTTTAATTTTTTTTTTTTGACATTTTTTTATTTCTATTTTTCTTTTTTTTTTTTTTTTCTTTTTTTTTTTTGAGTTGTGTGTCGTATCGAAGTAGGATGCTTCTTAAGTTACTTTTCTGTGTATGTGTAGAGGTATAAAGATAATAATTGTACTGGGTGATTCGTGTGCTTGTTATTGTATCTTCTGCTTCTTCTTCTTTTCTTCTGCTTCTTCTTCGTCGCGTGTCTTCATACTACTTTTTTCTCTTCCTCCTCTTCTTTTTTTTATTCCTCTTTTCCTTCATCATCATCATTATCATTATCATCATCTCCCCTTCCTCCTCCTCCTCTTCTTCTTCCTCTTTTCCTTCATCATCATAATCATCATCATCATTATCCCCTCTTCCTCTTCTTATTCTTCTTCTTCCTCTTTTCCTTCATCATCATCATTATCACCATCTTCATTATCATTATCAACTATCATATTCTTATTCTTCTCCTACTTTTCTTTCTTCATTTCCCCCTCCTCGTCTTCTCCTTCTCCTCCTTTTTCAACCTCTTTAATTGAAAAATCTTTTG